CCTTGGATAATAGGTGTTATATAAATGCAAAACAGTATTTTTCCCTTGGTGGAACTGCATTATGTCAGCTTGGAACTTTTTCAATTAGTGTTTCCATTTTCTTTTAAATTTATAGTGCCATCCACCAAGGAGTTATATAGCTGAATAATACATATGCTATTATATTTGTATTTTTGGATTGTAGCTAAGATGCAGGTAATTAGAAAGGATGTGCAGTGTTGATTTAGGATATACATAAGGAACATTGCAAATAAATAGACCATCACTAGATGGCAGCCTCTCTCTAAGTTCTAAATAGTCATTTCTTGGCAAAACTCTCTACCTGATTACCGTGCAATAAAAACTACCATAATCAATACTGTAACAACATCCTAGCTTTCGTGAATGTCAGGTCACTGTCTCTTCAGATGCTTATTCCAAAGGCAGAAACTGGATAGCACTGAAGAAGGCTGTGTTGTGAACTTCAAAGAATTGCATGCCTTTTTACTCTGCTTTTTGTCAATGACCATGAAATGTGCGTAGAATTGGACTTATTTAAAAGCTTTCTTTTGCAATCAATGCAGAATAAGTAAAGACCCTAAATATGTAGGGTTTCCGCCCTATTACGACTCTTCTGATAATGGGGGATTGAAAGTGCATAACTCAAGTTGTAAGAATACATCATAAGGACAGAGTCCTGTGGCACCTTTAAGACTAACAGATGTATTGGAGCATAAGCTTTCGTGGGTGAATACCCACTTCGTCAGACGCATGTCATAAGGATAATTATTCAACATTTTCCCCCTCAGCGCTTAGTCCCATTTTGATTTTTACTGTAGACACAGAAGGATGCTATCTTGGGTTCAGAAAGTGAAATGTTCAAGTGATTTAGGAGCACAAATGCCACCAAAAGCCAGACCTGTTCCTAAATCACTTAGGTGCTTTTCTCCCCCAGCATTACTTAAAATGTTCACTAGGAGCCACCTAGTTGACCACCTCCTCTAAAGGGTTACTTGATACATCTGTTGAGTTGGGTTTTTTTGTATTTCTGTAGTTTATCTTTTCATCCCCAACCTTTCAAATCACTGGACAGCAGTAGTGAATTAAGATAATCGGTCTCTGAAATTACATAACATCACTTTTAAACACACTTGCTGTAAACTTCGAGGTTTGCAGGAGTATCAGCGAGTCAGTCAAGAAGGCTAAATTCAGAATTAGATGTCTTAAAATTGTCAGTGTCTTTGGGATATCCTGTGGATTGTAAGCCTGTATTTAATTTTCTAGCATGAGTGGAAAAGTTTTAATGTGCTTATGATCAGAAAAAAAAGTACCTTTCATACTTTACATCACTCTTATCTTTCTGGAATAACATCTGCTTATTTTGTTGCCAAGACCAAGTTTGTTAGGCTTACAGAGGCAATGTATCTGCCGACGGATGAGTTGTATGTAATCTAGTCTGCCTCACAGAATTGTTGGTGATGATGCTGTTACAGTGTTTTCTGTCTCTGATGTATGGAGCAAAAAGAACATTGTTTGATTTTGTTTGTTTTTAGGTGTCAATCTGAGCTTTCCATGCAGGGAGTAATCAAATCTTATATGGGAGTTCTCTGTTTGGGAATATGGGAACCCAAGAAGTCCTGTTGAATGACTTCCGTGTGTGTGAATTTAGTGCATATGGATGTTATTGGATTGACCCCATTCGAGATTACCTATTTGTCCCCAGCATGGAAGATGAATGCAAGCTTCCCCCAGGCCTTCCTGCCTTTGTTCATTACCTCTGACAATGAAGGACCACTTGGGAGGTGAGGTGGGGAGTTCAGTCCCATGTCCCACTTATTCCAGCAGCTGTGCTGACCGTGGTAACAAGGGGGCAATTTGTGTCAGCAGAGACTGTGCTTTTCTCATGTGACTTGTCCTCTGGGAGCTGATCTGAAGCCCACAGAGTCACTTCATAAAGGCCACCAATCAACCCATCCAATCGCAGCCCGTTTTGGTCTCTCCTGGCTTAGCTGGATTTGAACTGCTGACCTAAATAGAGGTGGAAGGTTCTGTGTCCAGTTACCAGTGCTCTGAATAGACACACTGTGGTCCGTGAGAGAAACAGGAATGAAAACAAATGTTTGTTGAATGGAAAAGAGGAAAACATGAGTGTGAGACCAGAATATTCTCAAACACGAGTTAAAACCAGAAGTAAAGTGCCACTTTACATGCCCCCTCCCACCCCACCCCACTCCACTTGGTCCATAGGCTATTGGTTATGGTTTAACGACGAGCATTTTGTGAATTTATTCTAAGTAAATATATAAACAGGTGACGCAATTCTAACCTCTGTGGAAACTCTTTCTTAGGTCGGTCTATGATGGCGAAGAACATGGTCGTTTCATGGAAAAGCTGGAAGCCCGAATTCGAAACCATGACCGAGAGATTGAGAAAATGTGCAACTTCCATTACCAGGGCTTTGTAGATTCTATCACGGAGCTCCTGAAAGTTAGGGGAGAAGCCCAGAAGCTTAAGGTAAGAGAGAAATTTAGCAAAGACATATCTCTGTTATCAAAGGGTAATATTGTGGCACAGTGAAATATTTTCATTACTGACTTAGGGCTTGTCTTCACTGCACTGTTAGCTTGAGGTGTAGCTTGAGTTTTGCTCCTAACATGACTCCCGTCCCCCACAGAAATCTAGCTTGAGTTAAGGGGTGATTTAAGCTTGAGCTAGCTGGTCCATCGGGAGGGATGGGTTGAAGCTTCAAGCTGGTAATGCAGTTGGGGATGCAGTAGCTCATGTTACCACTGATCAGCTGCGAATTCATTCACTCTGTGTAGTTCGAGTGTTTTGCAGTGTGGTCGCTCTGGGTACGTCTACATTGCAGTTGGAAGTGTGATTGCAGCACATGTAGACCTACGCGAGCTAGCTTTGATACTAGTAGTGGTGAGTCTATGACAGCATGGACTTCAGTGCAGTCTAGCCCCTCGAGTATATAACCTGGGTCGCATGGGTTATATGCATACACTGTGTGCTGCTGTGGCTTCATTGCTGTTGATACCCTAGCTGGCTAGATTAAAGCTAGCTCGGTTATGCCTTCATGTTTTGCAGTCGCTCCCTGCCCCCTCAGTACAGCTTAGCCATACCCTGTAACTCTGCTCTCATTTGAGCTAGGCTGTGAGTTGAAGTTTGACAATGATCCTAAATTATTTTGGCTAGTGGAAACCTGGAGGATTGTGAGAAACGTCAGAAGGACCAAGGCCTTGTCTAAACTAGAAAAGCTTTGCTGGTCATTTACACCACTATAGCTATACTAGCAAACGCTTCTAGTATAGACACACCTTAGACCAGCAAAAGACTGCACTTTTGCCAGTATAGCTTATACCAGTTCCCTCAGTGAAATAAGCTTTAAGTGCAGATCAGCAGTGGCAAGCAAACTAGGGATGAGCTCTGAGGGGAAAGAGAGAACCCAGATGATGATGAAGTCTGTTCTAGGTATAGGTGGAGTAACAGGTGACCTCGGAACTTTCTCTCAGACACTGTAACCTAAAATGTGGAGAATGAACAATTTTGTGAGTTCTAAAAATGTAACATCAGAACAAACCCTCCCTCGTCTGAGTTTCCGGAATTGGGGAAGCTGCCTCATTTTCTTGTGGTATTTTCTTGAGGGTGGTGTAGGGCATGATTGATGTGGAGGTGTGTATTCTCGAGGCCTAGTTTCGTTACAGGTTTCAACAGCAAGGAGTCACCGATAGTTTGACAGAAACCATCCAAGAACAGTGAATTGCTGGCTCTTTAGTGACAATGACACCCTCCACCCCCCAAAGACACCTTGATTGTCTCCGGAGTGTAACACAGCTAGCCTTTCTCACTTGGAAGGATGGGGCAGCCTGACGTGGGACCTTTGGGTGGTTGTATGGAAGTCTAAGTGCAGAAGATGTGTCAGGGGAGAATACTAAAAAATTCTTTGGAGAGTAAAAAAGTTTCATCTTCTAATATGCTGAGGTTTTAAAAGTAACCGTACGTTTCTTTATCGCAGTGCATGTGTAAGGCATATCCTAGCAGGACTTCAGGTTTTACTCATACAAGCCCACCATCCTGCAGTTATGCATGCAGGGAAACTCCTGCTCTCGCCCGGAGGCCCATTGACAGGCAACGCCGATTGCAGGATTAAGGCCAAAGAACATATGAAAGAAACAGCCTACTCTTATACCATTGTTTCTAGCCAAGAATACGACATTCTTTGAAAAGACTTGTTGTGGTTTCTCAATCTACAAATCACTTCTTTATTGGTGGCACACTGTGAAGTCCATTCATGTGCCCTTAGGGATCCCTCGATTTCCATAGCTATCTGATTTATAAAATGGTCCAAGAGAAGAATATGCAGAAATCTGTTTGTGAAAAGTAGTGGAATCCTTCTCATGAGGGTTTCCCTGGAGACCCATCCATGGATCCAGTGGAGAGTGTTCATTGTGTTCCAACTATTCATTCAGTACAGTATTTGTTTTTGGTTTTTTCCTCGATAGTTTTAGTCTTACATATTTCCATAGCATATGCATTAAATCTACATCTTCAGTATTTCACCTACAGCATTTATCATTTATATATGCTTTTTTTAAAGTTTCTGGAGTCTTGTGTAATCTTATATTTACAGAATTGCCTTTCAGGCACTCTAAATAGCAGGACTCAACCCCATCCCCCCCCCGCAGTACCACTGAAGTGCAAACACCGCTGGGGTGAAACATGGCACAACACTGTTTACAATACAAAGTGAAGAAGACTGCTCTGTCCATTTTAGGTGTCAGAATTCAAGTTGAAATTTGCATCAGAACATCAGGGTTAAGTTCTCTAACTTTTTCAGGTAATACTGTGTGCTTATTAAGGCTGACACATAGTCAGGAACTCTTAGTATTATCTTATTATTTTTACGACTCATCCAGAAGATATCTCCCAACAATGCAGCTCTCCACTGGGACACTGGTTCGTTATGGTCTCCCTACCTTAGCTGTATAGGCTCTGCTGTACTACCAGGAGTAGCAAGTTACATTTTGCCAGAAAAGTAACCCAGATGTAACTAAATAGTCACAGGAACAGATCTTCAAAAAGGTGTCACTCTTACCTGGACACATTTCTAATCATGGCAACATTTAAACTTCTGCTTACTCTTTGATTATAACTGTGCAGCCTTAAGGTTGCACAAATTCACTTTTTTACATTTAATCTCTCCTAGTTTTACTTTTTTAAAATAACCTTTTGCTTATTTGGCTTGTAAAATATTGTACCATGAATGTCCTCGGTACCATGTACTGCACTCTCTTCTCCTTCATATTCCTGCTCATAACTCCTTTCAGTTGCCCTCTCATTGCTCTTCTCCTGCCCTCCATCTGATTGTTCCTATGTTATAATTAATTTAAACAAATGCCTGGTACCACATGTTCCATATAGAGAAGAATGAACTAAGTAAGCCCCTCTCATGATCCTTCACTACCATATCCTCATCCTTCCCATGTCCCCACCTGCTGTTTGTTACCCCTTGCTGTGCTTGTCTGTCTTAGATTATAAAATCTCCAAATCTCTTTGTCTGAAAAGCTGTGTGTGTGTCTATGGAACTCCTATGTAAATAATCATCTGTTTTTCTGTGTGTGTCTGTGACTCTAAAAAACAGAATGTACAAGGGCGGAACGGATTCCTGTTCGTTTTTGCTTTAGCTGGGATTGAGATGTAATTTTAATAGGAGACTTGTATAGACTTGGCATCTTTTTTGGGGCAGGTTTAAATTAGCCTACGTGAATTCTTTTTCCTAGTAAGATTTTTCGGAGTATAAGAAAATAAAATAATCTTCAGAGGAGATACCATGCTTCTACTTGAAATATCTCAGTACATCATAAAGGAAATGAGCAGTTTTTGTGTAGGGCAGTTAGCCAGGAGAACTGAACCTCCTGCAGGAGGTGGGGGGAGCGCTGCTATGCGACCACTCCGGTGAAGTTGTAAAAAGTTAAGTCATGAGGTGAATCCTTCTTGTCTGCAATGCGATAAGTTAATGGCGGCAAGCACAAGCAGTTAAAAAAGTCTGGCCGTCGTGGGGGCTGGACAGTTCAGGCAACTGGTATTGGGGCGGCTGTTTAAAACCTTTCACTGCTAGGTCACCAGTTTCAATCTGACCCAAGTTGGAAGTGGCCAAAAATCATTGCTACCTGTTGGCCAATCAGCAGCCACTGTGGAATGAGTTGCGTCTTGGTCCTCTTTATATCACAGATCCTCCACACAACATCATAATTGTCTTGTCTACATTTTTGTGAGAGATGTAAAGGATTGAATGGCTTATGGAGACTGAATGATCCTTCCACCTCTAGAATTGGAGTATTCCAGGTTACGTTTGAGGTACATTGTGGGGCAGTTTAGGGGAAGTTTTCACTGCCATACATGTTGTAGTGGATAAGCAGAGGACCTCATTTCTAGGATGTCAGTCTGACATGTTTCACTAATACTAATTCATTCAGAAATCTTAGGGCTGGTCCACACTGGGGCGGGGGATCGATCTAGGAAACGCAACTTCAGCTACGAGAATAGCGTAGCTGAAGTCGACGTTTCCTAGCTCGAACTAAGTTTACTTACTGTGGGTCCACGCAGTGCAGGCAAGCTCCCCCGTCGACAGCGGTTCCTCCTCTCGGCGAGCAGGAGTTCCGCAGTCGATGGGGGAGCGCTTCTGGGATCGATTTATCGCATCCAGATGAGACGCGATAAATCGATCCCAGAAGATCGATCTCTACCCGCCGAATCGGGCGGGTAGTGTGGACCTACCCTTAGTTGCTGCTCTTTTCTCAGCATGGCTGCAGCAGCAGATCCTTGCTATGGAAGCCATAGCAATTGGTCAAGACATCAGAGTTTGTAGTGAGTAATGGTTTCATATAAGGGGATCATGACAGGGTGAAGAGTTGAGTATAAGCCAGGGGTGGGCAAACTACGGCCTAGGGGGCCGCATCCGGCCCACCAGATATTTTAATCTGCCCCTTGAGCGCCAGCTGGGGAGCGGGGTCGGGGGCTTTCCCCACTCCGCGTGGCTCCCAGAGGCAGCGGCATGTCCCCCCTCTGGCTCCTACACGTAGGGGCAGCCAAGGGGCTCGGCACGCTGCCCCCACCCCAAGCACTGCCCCCACAGCTCCCATTGGCCAGGAACCGTGGCCAATGGGAGCTGCAAGGGCGGCACATGTGGACAGGGCAGTGTGCAGAGCCGCCTAGCTGCGCCCCCGGGTAGGAGCCGGAGGGGGGACATGCCGCTGCTTCTGAGAGCTGCTTGAGGTAAGCGGCACCCAGAGCTGGCACCCCGACCACCTCCTGCACTCCAACACTCTGCCCCAGCCCTGATCCCCCTCCCACCCTCAGTCCCAGCCCAGAGCACCCGCCTGCACCTGCAACCCCTCATCCCCAGCCCCACCCCAGAGCCCACACCCCCAGCCAGAGCCCTTACCCCCCTGCATCCCAACCCTTTGCCCCAGCCTGGATCCCCCTCCCACACCCTGAACTCCTCATTTCTGGCTGCACCCCACACCCCAGTTTTGTGAGCATTCATGGCCCGCCATACAATTTCCATAGCCAGATGTGGCCCTCAGGCCAGAAAGTTTGCCCATCCCTGGTATAAGCTCAACTTCTCTTCTGCTGGAAACAGAGGTGATGAGGGTGGGCTGCTTGCTACAGGGGGGAGGGATAGCTCAGTGGTTTGAGCATTGGCCTGCTAAACCCAGGGTTTTGAGCTCAATCCTTGAGGGGACCACTTAAGGATCGGGGGCAAAAATCAGTACTTGGTCCTGCTAGTGAAGTCAGGGGGTTGGACTCGATGACCTTTCGGGGTCCCTTCCAGTTCTATGAGCTAGGTAAATCTCCATAATCCATTGTGTTGTTTTGTTCTCTGTGGTAGCTCAGGGTGCTGTGATCCTGGCTCTCGCTGCTTTTGTATAAAATCCAAGAAATTCATGTAATTTGTTAAAGTTATGGATTAGTTTTTAAAATTCAGTGATGAGAGAGCTGAGCAAGAAGTTGAAATTCAATGGAAGCTTGCAGACAGCAGTAGATCAGTGCAATTCTGTGTAAACTCATATGTGTACTCTACCAAAATTCTTTTTGGTCAATTTTTCCTCCCGGGCCAAAGAATGTGTAACAGGGTGGCTCGCCCCTTAAGGGCTGAAGAACTTGGGCTAGCCAACCCTGATGACAGAATTATCCAGTTCACCTGGGGTGAATTGGATAATTCCCTATAAAGGACAGCAAGTGGCTGCAATGAAGGGGGAAGATCAGGAAACTGTTATAGTGTCTGCAGAGAGAAAGAGAGAGGCTCTCCATGGCAGAGAGGCCTGGGAGAAAACCTGACCAAACCCGGGAAGGATGGCAAAGGCGCTAGGCAGTAAGTTCTGGGAGGAGGAAGAGAAACATTTTTTTTTTTTGGACTTATGAATGGACTTTGTTTTGGGGTTTGAATTTTATTTGCGGTTTATTTTATATTAATGAGCTCAGTCCCCAATAAGGGGTAATTTTTGACCCCAAAAAAGCCTGAAATGAAATTTATTTGAACAGTCCAAGACGGGAAACTGAGGCAGGCTGCCTGTAGTTTGACCCTGTACTAAACAGGCATGCATGTGAGGCAGCCGGCCCTGTTACAATATGTAAACCCCTTCGTTTGGGACAGGAACTATCTTAATTTGTGTGTTATACAGGAGCAAGCCCAGTGCCCTTTATAGCTATAAACTTTATATAACTTGATAACTATAACTGTTGATCCAGAGAATTTAGACTTTGCAGGATTGAACATCACTGTTTCAAGAACAGGTACCACGTCGACGTGGATTCATCCACTTCTCCCCTTCCCCGTCAACTACTTTGAACGGTTCATATAAACTGCCGTATGAAACAGCATGTGAGCTAATCGATATTCAGTTTATAAGAAGCCATTCACTTGCTGACAAAAAATGCACTTGACTCAGGGACCAGATCATGCCTCCTTTACTCCTATAGAATAGAATTCAAGTAGTGAGTTACAACTTTACATGAATAACAATGGCAGAATATTGTGCTATGGGGCACAGCTTTTCAAAGGTGGCATCTCGCTGTGTTACCCCTTGCTGTCTTCCACTGGTGTCTAGTAACTGGCAAGAAACTCTTATATGGCCACCTTCATATCATCTGTGCTGCTCTTAGGATCTTTCCTTATGTCAGAAAATCCACTGAATGCCACAGAAAGCCAAATTAACCACATCTATTTTAGGGGGCGCAGAAGGAAATTGTAAGAAATTGCAGGGAAGCTGGTGAAATCCATAGTAAAGGCTCTTGTGCAAATACCTCTTGATTACATGTAAATTTTAAAATTAATGTGGTTTTTTTTTCTTTTCCTCCCACAGCATCAAGTGACAGACACGAATAGAAAACTGCAGAGTGAAGGGAAGGAAGTAAGCCCTGTATTTTTAAAAGCCTCCCTTATATGATCTATTAGCTTTGAATATTTTAATGTATTATAATACCATTAGAATGCACAGACTTCTTGTTTCAGAAGTCCACAGCTGTGTGGGCAATACTATTGATCACTTGTGTGACCATAGTGTTAAATCTGTATAATACTTGTGATACCTGTACCTAATTGTCATTAGATGTAATGGGGATGCGTATGAAGCGACCATCCCTTTCCATAATTTGTGGGTTAAAACTGAATGGACGGGGAAACCTGGGAAGCATGAAGACTTTGAAATGATAATGGACATACAGTGGGCTCAACCCTTCACCCCTTACTAGTGCCAATAAACACTGAAGGGTCAGTTTGCAGAGCAGTACAGCAGCAGTAAGTCAACGTGGTCCTCAGCTGCATATGTGGAGGCATCGAACCAGGGAGCAAGTGAAGCTCTATATGTTTTGGGTGTGGTTTCCCCTTTAACTGCATTCAGTCTTCTACATCTTAAAACTAAAGGCATATTGACAAATTGAAGGGAAATTGTTGGATAGCAACACAGTTGGTTAGTGAGCTGGAGGCACTGATATATGAAGAAAGATCAGTGCCAGTTGTGTGCATATATATAATATAGGAGAAGTGTCTAGAAACGCCTATTCCTGCAACTCATCTTCTCCTCCTCCTGGAGGGACTCTCACTACTTGCTCCTTATTCCCATAAAAATCTTCTGCTCTTCTCGCCTCTTCCATCTTCCTAGTTCACAAAGAAATTCACTTTATTGTCAGTACTTTCAAAGTAAGTACTTTGGTTTATGGGCTTCAGAGGTGGAAAAGACCTATTCCATCTTCCTGCCAATGTTGGACAGTTCCCTGTGGTAAATGTCAGTGTTTTGAAAAACGGTGACCCCAACAGTGTGCTGCTGGCGAATGCACTGTTCATACATCCTTAGGACTGGCTCTGAAAGAGATTGAGATAGCCAAGTAATAACTTCGTGACGGCCGAGAGGACATCAGTGTACAAGAGTCTGAATGGGGTAAACACCAAGGAATGGGGGAGATTATTTAGGCTGATCCAGGGAGGCATAGCTATCAGAATAAAGGGCTATGATTAAGAAAAGGAAAAGTCAGACTTGATAGGAAAGAAAGAGGCTCTGCCTATGGGAGGAAGACCATGGCCAACAGCCCTGCTCTTCAGGCACAGTGGAACTCACTACAATAAGGATATGTCTTCACTACCCGCCGTATTGGCGGGTAGCAATCCATTTATCCAGGATCGATATATCGCGTCTCGTTAAGACACGATATATCGATCCCCGAAGGCGCTCACTGTTGACTCTGGAACTCCACCAGAGCGAGCAGCGGTAGCACAGTCGACGGGGGAGCCGCGGCCATCGATCCCACGCCGTCTGGACCCCAGGTAATTCGATCCAAGATACTTCGACTTCAGCTACGCGAAGTTGCGTATCTTGGATCGATTTGCCCCCCCACCCCCCCCCCAC